CCCACCCACCTAGCCAGCCACAAATAAATAATTAGCAAGCACTTAATGTTTCCACGCACTCCACTAAGAGTTGAGAAGATACAAGGACAGTAAGATGGGAACGTGACCTTGAGAGCCTATGGCCTATTAACAGTAAGTAACTAGAAGTTTTGTAATTTTGAAACAGTCTTATAATGGTATGGTAAGTGATATATCAGTGGTGTATAAGGTGTCTGGGAGCTCCCTCCCAGGCTTATGCAGGCTTATCTAAGGTGGTCTTAATTCAGACCAGGAGCTAATGGTGGTAACTGATAAGAGATAGCTTCCTGGATGAAGTGATACCTAAGCTAGGATTTGTGGGAAGAGGAGAAAGCTGTTTCCAGGTAGCCTGTTGGTAAGTCAAGAGCTTGACTTTTTTTCTCAGGAGCTACAAGAGCTTAGAACAGTAATATTGAAACCAGGCTGGAGAGCTGGTCAGAGCTCCCTCATGAAGAGTCACATTTCTCTTCAAAGGTTTCTGGGCATATTTGAAGGGGTGGACATTGGTGGGTTTAGTCACAGGAATGAAATGATTGGACTTACATTTGAGAAAGTTCCCTCTGGTGGCAATGTAGGGGAAAGGGTTAGGGGTTAAAATTGGAGGTGAGTTGCTGGAAAAAGAAGAAACTGTTGCTTAAGCTAACTCTTGGGATTTTCAGGGGGTACCAGCAGCCTTGGGGGCTGAAGATGGGAGGAGAGGGGGAGATGGGGACTGCAAGGTGAGGTAACTGGAAAAAAGGAAGGTGGCATTTAGTGAGGGAGTGATGGAAGGGAAACAGGGTCTGCAGGGAGGAACTAGGGGTTTAGTTTTAGACACTGACCTGGTGATCTTTAGCACTTAGCTGTCCAGGGAGCAGCAGTCAACATAGGGAAGGAGCCAAAGCTTGGGGAGTGGGTAACATCACCAAGGGAGATGTTGTACAGTAACAGAAGAGGGCAGTGGAAGGAAACTTGGAGATAACCATAAGAAACAAAAACCTGTACATTTATCTAATACCTGTGTCACATGGAAAACAGATTTGGCATCTCGGAAAATTAACAGATATGGTATTTTCCTTCTGGGCTTTGAGAGATACTGGCTTACAGAATTTTAATCAATAAAGAGGTGAACTAATGGAATACTACTAAAACTTGGAATGGTAATGTTCTGGATTTTTTCTTGATGGTTGTGACCTTATAGTGGTACATGTAAGAGCTGTAGGAACCTCTTTGCCTTCTAGATCTAGATCTAAACTGGTCTGCCAATTTAAAGAAATAAAATTATTGTCTTCTTATTGAAGCAGAAAATGATGAGCTTTTGGAATTTTTTTTGTATCTTTTGGAAAATTCCAGTTCATAGGATGTAGGGTTACAGAAGAGTAACGTTGTTGAGAAGTCTTGGCATTTTCTTATATATTCCTTGTTCTCTCTCTCTCTCTCTCTCTCTCTCTCTCTCTCTCTCATGGCTGGGAAAGTGGGTATGTACTTTTACCCATCTTCCCAAACCTAGCCACAAAAACATGGGTATTACTTACTGTACCCAGTATATTATTGATTTTTATTCATTTGGGGATTATTTAATGAGCTCCTGCTGTGGTGATCAAGTGAGAATCCAGGCCCTTACTTGAGCCCATAGTGGCAGGGAGGAACCTTCTCTGGGAGGGGAGAGTGTCTTGTTTCATGCCAACCTTATATAGCCATCTCAGGCTTTCCAAATGGTGGACCCACTAGGCAGAGTTCCAAGATGGCCAGCTCTCCTTTCTTCTCTCCTCCTAATCTCCCCACAGCCATTTAAGAAATACAGATTACTTCACTGGCTGTGGGGTCACATGGCTGATAGCACCTTAGGAAAATCTAGCCCTTTATAGATAACCTACTAGAGACACCTCCACTGGCACTTGTTGAAATAGGCTGGGGGATAATAATGTTTATAGTGTGCTGAGCTTTCTGGAATCCACATGTCATGGGCATACTCATCCACATCTTTCCTTGACTCTGACTTTCCCTTTATCCTCAGGTTACTCTGTTGTTGTTTTTGAAAACCTAGAAACACCCTTTCACTGTGGCCCTTTGGGGTTTGGGATGTTTCATTTTAACATTGCCCTGGTATGGCGGGGGGCGCGGGGAGCTTCCATCTTCCATCATTATGAAAAATCAGCTGTTTGATAAAGATATTATCTTAGGACAGATGGAAAATGTTAAGGAAAAAAGTGACCCCGATGTCCAAGTTCTTAGACACTCAAGTGAACCAATTGAAAAAAAAAGAATTAAGTGATAGCATCAATATTTCTTTTGTACACAAACTAGTAGGAGCTTTTGCTTCCCACGTTGCTCTTTGTCTTAAGGGAAAATTACGTTATTAAAGAACACCATTAAAGAAGAATTTTTAGGACAAGACGTACTTATGTGCTTTGAATGACTTATTTAAAGCTTAGAGGAGGATTAACGCTTGTTGAGAAATTTCTGGAAAGCAGTTGCTGAATTTGGGATAAGTCATTGGTAGGAAGAGGGTTGCATAGGGGAAAGGATTGCAGTTAGTTGGGCTTACTCAGGAGTCCGATGTGGTGGGATGGAGCACAGGTTGTTAGCTGCCCTAGAGGCCGTGGTGTGGCTTGTTCTCATTGGTCAGCAGGTGGCACCAAATAGCCAGCACGAATCTGGAGAGGTATGTAGTGTTTAGATTTCACCATGGGTTGGGTTGAATTGCACTTTCTCTGCTTTCACAAATTTGTAATTCATAGCACTTTCACATTTTTCCCCCATAGAGATGGCATCCTCCAAGGCTGAATTTTACGAAAGTCTTTGGTATTAACATAGTTATGAAAATTAACCATCTCCCAAGGTCAAATGGTACATGACATTATTGATTTTTTTTTGAAGGGGTTTATGACTCAATGTGAAAAGCAACAAACAGTAAGATCAATAGAATATACTTATTGGCTTAATTTTCTGTAATTTTTTTTATGTTTTTATAAAATGTGGTTAAATACGTTGCTAATGTAAGTCTTAAAATTACTGATAAGTTTATATTGTTGGAATTGATTATGTCTACCTGATGGGAATCCAGGATTTTACTCCCATCTAAATGTTTGTGTTTGAGCGAAGATGGGTCATTATTTGGGTCATTGAGCTCTTCATTTCCTCCCAACAAGCTATCCTGCTTCTCAACATAAAGTCTCTCCTTTGCCTGGGATGCTGTTGCTCCTGATCTGGGCATGACTCGTTCCTTTTTGACACTGAGATCTCATTTTAAATACTGACTCAGAGAGGACTTTCCTGACCACCAAATCTCAAATAGTCTCAAAGTTTTCTCTCTCTCTCTTTTTAAGGTTTATTCATTCATTTTTGAGGGGAGGGGGCAGGGGGCATTGTGCAGAGAGAGAGGGAGAGAGAGAATCCCAAGCAGACATGGGGCTTTGAGTTCATGACCTGAGCCAAAATCAAGAGTCAGACTGTTAACTGACTGAGCCACACAGGCACCCCTCTCTTTCTTTTTTAAATTGAGATATAATTGATGTATAATATTATATAAGTTGAAGGTGAACAACATGTTGACTTGATATATATGTGTATTGCAACATGATCACCACTGTAGCACTAGCTAACATCTCTGTCACGTGATATAATTACCGTGTGTGTGTGTGTGTGTGTGTGTGTGTGTGTGTGTGGTGTGAACAATAAGATCTAGTCTCTTAGCAACTTTGAGGTTTATAATACAGTGTGGTTGATCTTTGACTGTGTTGTATCACTCCACTTTTCATTTTTTTTTCAACTATTTTGCCTTTTCTTGTGTGCTTTTTGTTCAGCTCCTCCTCCTATGCCATATGCTTCACTAGAGCTGAGTCCTTATCTTTTTTTTTATTTTTTAAAATTTTTTTTTAATGTTTATTTATTTTTGAGACAGAGAGAGATAGAGCATGAGTGGGGAGAGACAGAGAGAGGGGGAGGGATCTGAAGCAGGCTCCAGGCTCTGAGCCGTCAGCACAGAACCCAATGTGGGGCTTGAACTCACGCACCGCAAGATCATGACCTGAGCTGAAGTCAGAGGCTCAACTGACTGAGCCACCCAGGTGCCCCGAACTGAGTCTTTATCTTGTTTACTGTTATCCCTAGCATCTGAAACAGTGCTGAGCATGTAGTGAGTCCTAAGTACATTCTAGTTCAGTGGATGAATCATAGTTGTATTGAAGAGAGAAGAAGCTATATAAGCTGAATGTATTTCTCATTATTCTCTGAGGGTATTTTGATAAAGTGAAGACAGCAGTGGACCAAAAGTTGAGGCCTAGGTTCTTGTTTCTTATTTGTTCTTGTAAAATACTGTGACCTGGGTGGGTCCCTGAGAAATGGGTATTGGTCATAGAATTTGTAAATAACAATAATATAAATAATTGCAGTCATTATTGTTTGAACCTCTCCTATGCACCAGAACAGTCCTTGGTGCCTTACATTTACTATTTCATTTGATCTTAGGCATCTGTTAGTTCTGATATGAAAATGAGATATTTAGGTGAAATGATCTGTTCTCTTATACAACATTTTATGAATTTCTAGGAGAAGCAAAGAGATTATAGTTTATGGTGGTACACAGTAGAAGTAAATGAGTTCATTCAGAAGCCCTAGGTGTTCATCTTAGTTCTTAAATAAAACTTTAAAACTGCAAAACTTAAACATTACAAAGAGGGAAGAAACTCACCCTGTATTGGGTGTGTGTCATCTCATTCAGTCCTGTGAACAACGTGGAGAGTATCTTTTCTCTTTAATGGTTGGGGAAACTGAGACGCAGAGATGTTAAATAACCTAGCCAAGGTCACACACAAGGTGTTATGAGGCAGTGCTCAAGTTCAAAACCAGCATTGATTTACCCCAGAAACTTGTTCTTGACATGTAGGAATTGTTCTACAAGTCTACTTTACCTTTATCCCAGTAGGTTTCATGGGAGCACAGAGCATTTTTGACCTCTAAATAGGATTTTCTTGCTCTTTCTCACAGAACTGTAAGAAGGAGCTGATGTGGAGGAGCAGCTGAGACAGTTCAAGATGACGACCACAGTAGCCACAGACTATGACAACATTGAGATCCAACAGCAGTACAGCGATGTCAACAACCGCTGGGATGTGGATGACTGGGACAATGAGAACAGCTCCGCAAGGCTCTTTGAGCGGTCCCGAATCAAGGCTCTGGCAGGTAAGTCTTCTCATGCCCTGTGACAGAAGCCCAGGGGCCTGATAGTTCCCTTTAAAATCACCCACCCTTTCTCTTCTACAGGAAGGTCAGCTCACCTCTACTTAAACATGTCCTAGGAGTTGACCGTTGCATAAGGTAGCCAGGTCCATATTTGGGGAACTGTTGATCCTAAGGCCAAAATGATTGAGTGATTTTTTTTCAAGCTGCCCTAGGTTATTAAGAATTCTTTTATTTTTGACTCCTCTTACATTTCAAAATAATGCAGCATATTGTACCGTATTCAGACAAATGTACAAATCATCCTGTGTGCTTAGTTGCTGTGATATTTTAGTTGACCTGACTTGTTACAGTAGAGTTCTTACTTTGACTGACCAAGAGTAGTTAGCATCACATGCAAGGGTTTTAGATGTAAAGAGCAATAACTTAATGTGGTGAGGGCATATTTAATGCTACAACAGGTAAGTTTGCCATTAATTCACTAAAATTAGCAGGAACACATCCTTCCTTTGTGATTTCTAACTCTCTTGGTGCTGTTGAATACTTAGAACACACTTTTACCCTAACCCTAGTTGGGGTAGGTAGTGGTCTTGCCCTGAATTGCCCTGGAAATCAGGAAAGGGTTTCATCAGGGTTTCATCAGGATTCAGCAGTACTGAATATATGTAAACCAAGGGTCAAAGTGGAGTCTATTTAAGGTCTTGCATCTGTACTTTGAGATTTTAAATAAAATGGTTTCTAAATGAGAGAAGTACGTTTATGACTTTTTTTCTGAATGTCTTTAATCATGACACATAAATTATAGCCATGATTTAACAGGTAAGTTTACTGTTAATTGTTCATATAGCTCACATTTTTTACCTTTATAGTATAATTTGCTTATGATGCATGTGTCATTTAGAGTTCTCTTGATTGTAAGCAAAAGGAAACCTAACCCAAAGTGGTTTAAATGGTAAAGAAAATGTATTGATCACATGGAAGACAAATTTGGCCTTTAAGCAAGACTTATTCCTGGGCTTAAATGGTGTGCACAGGACCCAGTTTCCTTCTCTATATTTGTTGGCCTTATAGTTCCCAGATGGCTGCCCCAGGTCCCAGATCCGTCTGTAAGGATACCCAGGAGAAAAGAGCACCTCTGCTGCCCCAGTACTTCTACCATGTCCTAGGATCAGTCTCACTGACCTGATCGATCATGACTTGGGCCATGGGCCTTCCTTAGAATCTCTTTTCCAGTGGAGTCAGAGAAGAGGGTACTCTGATTGACATTAGCTAATGAGGATGTACTTCTGGCGTGGGGGTTGTGGGGTGAGGCAGAGAGGGGTCAGTTCCATCTGAGCTCCTTGGCTAGAAAATTTGGTATATAACAGGAAGGAGGAGGAGGGAAATGGATGCTGGGAATATAGCTAACTAAATGCTATAGGAAGGTTATTCAGTTGCCTTAGAATAATTTGTCTCTTGAGTGGTGGTGATTTAATGATCTTTCTTGAGCTTGCCTGATTGAGTGCATAAATGAATGATTAACCAGATAGTCACTCTAGAATTGAAGCTTTATTTTCTAGCTTATTCATTAACATGGAAGCCTATGGAAACCTTGCTGCTGGCTTGTGCTAGTGGATTGATTTGTACTTTAATCCCTTACCTCTTTTTCTTGAATCTTCATTTAAGCCTTTAGACTAGTATGATTTGGGTAGCCAGTTACCTTTGATCATGAATCATTTACTTTCTGGTTCTAGGCTACTATGTATTATCTCCCTTTTAAGAAGAATAATATGGGGTGCCTGGGTAGCTCAGTCTTTTTAAGCATCCGACTTTGGCTCAGGTCATGCTCTCACAGCTCATGAATTTGAGCCCCGGGTGGGGCTCTGTGCTGACAGCTTGGAGCCTGGAGCCTGCTTCAGATTCTGTATCTCCCTCTCTCTTTCTGCCCCTCCCCTGCTCACACTCTGTCTCCCTCTCTCTCTCAAAAATAAATAAACATTAAAAAAAATTAAAAAAAAAAAAGAAGGGGCGCCTGGGTGGCGCAGTCGGTTAAGCGTCCGACTTCAGCCAGGTCACGATCTCGCGGTCCGGGAGTTCGAGCCCCGCGTCAGGCTCTGGGCTGATGGCTCAGAGCCTGGAGCCTGTTTCCGATTCTGTGTCTCCCTCTCTCTCTGCCCCTCCCCCGTTCATGCTCTGTCTCTCTCTGTCCCAAAAAAAATAAATAAACGTTGAAAAAAAAAAATTAAAAAAAAAAAAAAAAGAAGAAGATGTATTTACAACTGTAGAGCAGTTCTTGCTTTTTGTATCTGGTCTTTCCTGCAGTTCTGGAGGATATCTCCAGCTGTATTTAGTATTGGTCAGTTTTCTTAAACTTCCTAGGGTGGCTTTTCTTCCATGCTATCTGGGTCCCTGAACTACTATAGTTAATGATAGTAAGCACTTAACATGGTGTTTACTGTGTGCAGGCACTGTTCTAAATGCATTGTATATATTAACAGCTAATCCTATAACAAACCATATAGGAGGGGCATTATTATTATCTATAGTGTATAGATGAGGAAATTGAGGCATGGAGAGATTAACTAGCTTGCCCAAGGTCACACTGCTGATAAATGGCTAAGGCAGACTGCCTCCAAAGTGTATACCTATTTTTCTATATTCAGTAAAATACAAAATGATTCAAAGCATATTAGTATAGAGTATTGATAATGAGTAATTGAAACATGTTTTTAAAAAGATCTTTAAAAGGCTCAGGAATGCATCTTGTGGTCTAGAAGAAGCCATGAGTAACCATGACAAGTTATTGAAAAGAAAACATGTTGCCTCCAAGTTAAATAGAAAAAAAAAAATTGCTTTCAGTGAATCCAGAAAATATCAGGAAAACCATCTGTGTATTGGAGGAGATTTTCTTGTTATCTGACTTCCCACTTCTGTGGGACAGAAAGATCTCTGAACTCTCTAAGAACTCTTATATGCTGAAAACAAGAGTAACAGAACAGTCCGGCAGTGTCTGGAACAGTGGTTCTAGAATGTGAGCATGCATCAGAATCACCTGGTCATCTTGTTCATTGCTGGGCCAACCCCCAAGTTTCTGATTCATTAAGTCCAGGATAGGGCTTGATAATTTGCATTTCTAACAGGTGATACTGATGTGGCTGGTCTGGGGAATCACATTTCCAGACTGGTGTGGAGTATTGATGTTTGGTCTATTTCCTTGGGCGTCTGAGACTATTTCATCTAGACCCAGCTGAAGTCTAGTAAGAATTAAAGTATCAAACTCAACAGAGCTATCTGAAAGACACACTTTAATATGGGAGTGGTGTGGAAGGCTGGCACCTCATTTTGAGAGGAGAGAAATATCTTCCTGTTCCTTACAGGGAAGTAGTATAGTGATAGGCCCAGCGTGAGAGAGTGCTGTTGTAGGATTTCTGTTACAAATGCACATTCTAAAGTGGGAAATCTTGGTTAGAGCACTAGAAATGTGAGTAGAAATGTGCATACCAAGTTTCCTGTCCCTCTTAAGTGTTCTGCATATTGAGTCTTCTCTAGATTTTCAGTCTGAAACTCCGAGGTGATATACAAAGGACATTACTGCAGGAATTCATCTTTTTATAGTGTGCTGTATTGATAGTGTGTCTTATATTGATAATGTAACAACCACCTTGGGTTGTGTCCTTTACTAAGTGGCTTTTCTCTGAGAAAATAAGGTGAGGTAAACTACTTGCTACTAGTTTTTACCCAGTTCGCAGATCCTTTCTATTATTAAGCTGCTATATATGTAATATATATTACATATTTTACATATAGGTAATATATATTATGTATATGATATATATTTTTTTTCCTCTGAGTTGTAAAAACCATTCTTAATTTCAGTTTTACTTGCCTTCATCCTCTTCTTGCTTTTAACTTTGTGGTATAATAAGAAATAAATTTTATCTTTGCACTCAGATCCTGGCACAGAACTCCTAAAACCCTTGGAATTTGCTGTCTTTTGTTATTCATAAAAAGCCTTCTTCCTCACACCTGGATTTATGCTAGTGGAGGTGACTTAGGGTGAAACCTTTAGATAGTGTTAGGATGGGACTGGTCACTGGAATGACCAAATAATGAGACGGTGGGAACTTTCAGCCCCATCCACCAACCTCCAGGAAAGAGGGGGAGCTGGAGATTGAGTTTAATCTCAGTGGATGATGATTTAATCAATCATGTCTACATATTGAGACTTTCATAAAAACTCCTAAATGACTGGATTTGGAGAACTTCTGAGTTGGGGAACACACCAGTGTGTTGGAAGTGTGGTGTGTCCTGTGAGGCCATGGAAGTTCTGCCCCCACCCCATGGAAGTTCTGCCCCCCAATACCTTGGCTACATACCTCTTCCATTTGGCTGTTTCTGAGTTGACTCCATCATAATAAACCAGCAAAATAAGTATTTTCTGGAGTTCTGTGAGTCCTCCTAGTAAATTTTTGAACCTGAGGGTTGTGTTCATGGACCTGATGAACTTCTGCTGTTCAGTCAGAAATATGGTGGTCTCAGGCCTGTGACTGGCATCTGAAGTGGAGGCAGTCTTGTGGGACAGATCCCTTAAGCTGGGGGGTCAGCGCTAACTCCAAGCACTTAGTGTCAGAGTTGAATCATAGTCTGGGACACCCAGTTGGTGTCAGAGTTGTATCAGACTCAGTAAGATATTTCATAGGGGAGATGGCTTCCCTGGTATGGTGTGGAACGTGGCCATGTTTTAAAAATGTAGGAATCAGGCCTGCAGTCACTTGTCAAGTGCCAGTTTATCATTGCAAAGATGAAAGAGTCTGGAGTTGGGTCACTTCCATTGCCCAAGGAGCTTTGAATCTTTCCATTCTCCTTAGACTTTTTTTGCTTGAAAATTAGTCTGATTCATCTCTCAGTCACTCAGCACCCCCCTCCCATTCTTTAGTATCTGAAACATCAGAGGAAAACACTAGTGAAAGCATCAGGAGCTGAGCACTGCTGTCTTCATAATCCACCTAGAGAATCTCCTGGTG